TGGTTGTCAATGTGAAAAGTTTTATTACTTCAAAATAGGATCTATTTTGGCAAAATACAAATTAAAAGCTGTGCATATTTATGAAGCACATATTACCAAAGCATATATAATTGGATGCTGAAAAATAAGATTAATGCAGACAGCCTGGGCTGGAATAGGATATCGGAAAAGGTAAAGCTTGGAATGAACTGAAGTTGGCAAAGAACAAGGGGAGAAAAAGGCTTCCTCAGTATCTTATGTATTTCTGTTTACTTTAAATGATTTTAAATGTTTTGATACAGATGAATTTTGTCCTAAATTACAGAGAGTTCTGGATTAATGACTGCAATTGAGTCCAACATTTCTATTGCTAAGTGAGACAGTTAAGTGAATTTAGCCTCATTTTACAACCTTTCTTTCCACAGCTGTTAAGTGAATCATTGTAGTTCTTAAGTTAGTAAGATGGTTGTTAAGTGAATCTGGTTTCCACATTGACTTTGCTTGTCAGAAGGTCACAAAAGGTGATGACATGACCCTGGGACATTGCAACCATCATAAATATAAGTCAATCACCAAGTGTCTGAATTTTGATCATGTGACCATGAGGATACTGCAACGGTTGTGCCTGTGGAAAAAACGTCATAAGTCTTTTCGCAGTGCCCTTTTAACATTGAACGTTCAGTAAATAAATTGTTATAAGTCAACAATTTACATAATTTTACCTTGAACAATTAATGTCATAAATTGAATGAGGCCTGCCATTTGTCAACTTTGGGTGATGAGAGACAGTTTCAGTGTATCATTTATTATGTGAAAAATGGACCTCAAACCTGGGGTTCCTAACCTTCATCCCTAGTTCTTAGAAATAAATGAATTCAAATTTTTAGTAAAAATAATTTCACATTCTCTGAAGTCTGCTTCTTGAAAGACAGAATAGGGGAGAAAGAGAGAGAGAGAATGAGAGAAATAATGTGTGTATTAACTTGAAAAGGTTTTCCAAAATGTTCTAATAGAATACTGCAATGTGGGTGGCAGTGGTGGCATTTTTAAAAGGTTAGTATACTAATTCATATGTCTCAGTGTGTGAGAACTAATATAGTGCATTGTCTAGAATAATTGGTTGGATAAAAGAAGTTCAAGTTCATATTTTTTACCATTGCATTCAATACCCACACGGAGGAAAGCCAGGACCGTTACAATCTATAGATTTTCTATTTATAATTTTCAAATTTGTCTGCCTTCCCATTTCTAAAAATTGTATCTCTGGTTGTAATATATCTCTATTAAAAACAAAGTTCCCGTCTGTCTTGTTAGGTTTTGATTACATACGCTATAGTTTGGATGACCAGCTACATTTCTCTCCTCTAAAGCTTCTCATGGGTACAAATTATTAGGACAGAAAATTAATGTTAGATTGCCAATGATATCAACCTGATAGGCAGTAAGAAAATGATCTAAATGAATTCCACTGAGGCAAAACTCTGCCTGCAACTCTGACCTGCCTAAGGATAAATGTCACTGCAATTAGGTAGTGGTATCAGCATATAGTAGTTTATAAACTGTCAGAGGTCTACCTAGGAGCTTTCATAAATTGAGCCAAGCATATAAATCAGGAAAGCAACTAGTAAAAGCAGAACCAGATATCAAAGACAAAGCAAGAAAGCAATAGAAGCACAAAAGCTTAACAAATGGAACAATTTCTTGTAAAAGAATCTGTATCTTAGCATTTCTGTTCCATTTGAGTATTTTGATTTATTGTCAAAAAGCTCTTTTTGCTTAGTTTCTCTCTAAGGCTTCACCTCCATGGATACTAGCTCTTTTTCATGTCAGATTCTATCTCCTGAGTCACTTTAAGTCAGAGTTGGAAGTGTTGTCATTACCTTCAGCTGTGAGATGGTGAAATTCCTTGAGTGTCATGTTCTGATATTTGAAAAGAAGAAATTAGGCATATTCAGCAGAGGTGTCTAGTACATGTTCTGGTTAACTCCTTGGAAAATGCCTTAATTTATAGAAAAATAGGCCAAAGTTAGTTATGCTATAATTGTATGAATATAGTTCAATTTTATTTTGTAATTAGCATCCAAAGAGAAGCCAGAGCAGCCAAAAGTCTACAGTATGAGGAACAGGAAAAGGGTCCAACTCTTTCCTCTCTATTACAACTGAATAAAAATGGTTTCTCCAAATTGTTGTATTTCAAGAGAAAAATTCCCATTAAAATCAACTGACATTTCTCTTGAAATGCAAATTACAACAATGAAAATTTGGCTTTGGGCTTTTCCATATTGTGATCAGCTAAACATGAAACTGACTTAAACCATTTTGGTTCTGCACTTCAACCCCCTCTTCTCTTTCGACTGTTGTGATGGCCCGATGGTCTATCTGGATCACATTTATCACAGCATCCGGTTGGTGGATTCCTGTTTTTTATTCCTCCTGGACTGGTCAAATAAACTAAGTCCACTTCTATTATTTTTCTTCTGTCAGAGGGTAATCCTGCCACAGTGCATAGTAACTAACTGGAAACAAAGGATTTGCTTACAATGGAATTAAGCCCAGTAGGTGAACTGGATTTCAGATGTATCGACAGTCTAAAGTTTAAGATGTCTGACTTAAAGGCAACCCCTAGTTTAAGATGTCTGACTTAAAGGCAATCCCTAGTTATAAATGGGCTACCTATTAGTAAAAATGGCTGATGATTTTGTTATTCCTTGCACTGATGAAGCACTTTCAGGAGCTGCTGAAGCTGGGCATTTTTAATATACAGCAGTTTTTAGCAGTTCCTGAAAGCTTTATACAGCTTTAATGCTTCGTTTGACTCAAGGAAAGACAATTCCATGCATCATTTTCAGTAATAGGGAGTAATAGTAAGTACAGGTTCTAACTTTAACACAAAATTGGGTTAAAGACAGAGTTAGGGAACAGAACTTGTTCTTAACCCAAGGACGACTTTCATGTATTATTCAATAATATGAGCATTTGTTCATTCATCTCATATCGAGTTTAGCCTCAGGATTCTTAAATTAAGCAATTTGTGTCTGTTAAAGGACTGATGATACAGTGCTATTAAATGGATTGCAATAACAACTATTGATGAATGGTGAAGTGCTAATCAGCAAAAACAGGTGTAGGTTTCAGCTAGCTGAGTGAGTCATCTACTACTTGCACGATAGTTTTTGTACAGAATCTGTGATCATCAATTACAAAGCCATTCATTCACCTATATATTATGTGATATGCCTGTGACTTATTATGTGCTGACTTCATTTTTTCAACAGCTGCCATACTTAAGACAAAATAGAGCATTGGTATATTAGAATCTGTAAGGAATTTTGATTGATATATATCTTTAAACACATATGCAGGATAACTCATAGTTTCAGGAAGAAGCCCTCCTAAAACAGAAATTAGAAACTAGGCAAATTTGATTTGTAAAATATAGAGGAGCTTCCCAATGAATCTCTTGACTTTATTTTGCCTGGCAAGAGCTAACTATTAGTTTTACAAACTGATCAGGCTTTGAATTAATGCTATGCAGTAAAATTCTCCTGTGCTCTTTATCTTTCAGTTTTCAGATTTTTTATAAAAAATATTAATTTAATATTATATTTAATTCAAGATGGTTAAGAAAACAAATATCTAATCTTTCATGAGCAACATCTGGTAGTCTCCGTATTTTCTTGCATATCAGGAAAATCCCAAAGGAAGATATTACATCTTATTGGGAAGCATTGATAACCTGGAAAGTTTCAGTATGTTGGAAAAAATGATATAAAAACCATATCCATTGTAGAAGTAGCAGAAAAAAGAGAAATTTGAAATAAATTCTTTGGCACTTTGAAAATAAAGCAAAGAAAGGCAAAGTCTTCCTTACAATTCTTCCTCTGAGAAATTGCAAGGCAGATTTGGTAGACCATTATACCAAAGATGAGCACTCCAAGTGTAGATGAAAGGACTCATTAAGTTGAGAGAAAAGATTGCTTCATTGGCTATCCACTTAAAAGTAATGACTTCAAGACTGACTTTTGTAAGATTTCTTTTTTTAGAAAAATATGTAGCAAACATAGATAATCTGCAAGGGAAGCAAAAGCAAAAGATAAAACATTTATAATGAGATCTTAATGGATATTCAATGCTTGTATCCTCTTGGGTGATGTTGCTGCGAAAGGGTGGAAGTTTGCATTGTAAGACCATATGCATGTTTGGTTATTTTGATATCAGCATGGGTTGGGAACAAATGCATTGTGGGAACAAATGCATTAATATTTATACCCCAAATGAGAAAAAAAATGGCAGGATGATTTAGAAAAATGGCAGGATGGTTAAGACCACAGCCCCCCAACCTTTCTGGACTGGCTTTGTGGACAGGCAGCATTGGTGGTGGGGGGAAAGGGGATGGTTTCACACAAGCAGTGGATGAGTGCATGCATGCAGCTCCATCTGCACAACACTCACATAAATAAGCTTTACGCATGAGTGTCTGCCACTCACACAAGTGGAACCGTGCATGCTCGCTCATCACTTGTGTGGCCCAGTTTGAAATAGGCTGCGGCTGGGGGACTGGGGACCTCTGATTTAGACTTTCAAAGAAGAGGAACATGCAGTGAAGTTCCAGAATAATGTTCATTGTTCTTTCTGTAAGATGACTGTAAGTCAGTGCGTAATTCCTTGAGAAGAACTCAACTGCACACTGTAGTGCTTCCATCAACTAAACAAAGGCATAGGCTTGCATTGTTAATGAAATATGTCCAGATTTATCTACATGAAAGACAGCATCTTTCCAGCAATATCTTTAACTATATTTTGTATCTGCAATATAATAAGGTATTACTATCTACGAAGATGCATTAAGTTACAGTATTGAGAACCTTAGCTTTCTTCCTATTCATTTCTTGATCCTATAATACCCCAAATTGTATGGATAAATATTAAGCTCTCCTTTGGTGATTTCAAATGGGTTGTTTCAGAAAGCTAATGGAAGATGCTTTTCATCTGTTCCCTTTCTCTTTCTCTTCTTCTCTTAGGTGATTCTCATTCTTACAAAGCTGCATGACTTCAATTTGGGAAGTGTTACTGAAAGCTCACTTTGGAGGTAAGCAGATTACATGGTATCTTTTCCTCAGTAGTAGACAATAAAAGAAGACAAAGAAAAAGTTGTAAGGAACTGAACACATATTGCTTCTTTGCCCTGATGAGCAGGAGAGTTTTTGTTGTTTAAAAACCCTGTTGTGACAGTTATCATATATTTGACTACAAGTTCAAATATATTTTGAACTTGTAGTCAAACACATTTTCAGAACAAGATGTGCACATTTTGTTTTTCTGTAACTGGAATCTGTAAATTATCACCATATGAGGGTAACACTGAAGTATGAAAATAATCTGACATACAATAAATGTTAATATTATATTGAAAAAATAATTATATGAACCCAAAAAGCTTCTGCAGACCAGATATGACTGAGAGCTTATTTAGCAAATACTGTACTATAACATAGTAGTCTATCCTATTCCTATCGCTATTCCTCCTCTAAATTAAGTTGGCCGCTGCTATTATTGTATATTTGTGAGTTCTTTTTTAAAACCTGAAAATGGATGTGATAGTATTAGAAATGCTAATTAGTCATGAAGATAGGTATTTTCTTGTGAAAGCATAAGAAGTTAAAAGCAGCAAGATTCTGTTGCATTACACCAAAGACTGATTTTATTCAGTATTTTGCTGTCATGGTAACATCCATTTACCTAGGAACTTCCCAAACAGCCAACATTAAGATAAACAGGGATTAACACCAGGCAAACAATCAAGTAGAAAACTATACCCTAATTAAGAAACTGCCAAAGAGAAAACCCCACTACCACCAAAAGCAGCAGACAAGCTATGGTATATAAAGAGCAAGCAAGTTTCCTGCTCACTTGCACTGATATTAGCTAGTTGGGTAATGAAATGTCTGCAAGCAAACAATTAAGTTCAGACAGTACCAAGGACTCTACAGTTTTTATAATGTACCCAAATTCTCTTGAAATAAAAGAAGAATCATGGTTTGGATTCTGAAATTTAGAATTTGTCAGACAAGGGTATAAGCTACAAAGTATAAATAAACAAGATAAATAAACAAATGTGGAAACCACACCTTTAATTTTCATAGGTCAGCACAGGTCAGGTGACAGTATTAGTCTTCTAGAGTAGGTTTGCTTACATGAAAAGCCAATATTGCTGAGCACATTGTAAGCCGCCCTGAGTCTTCGGAGAAGGGCGGCATATAAATCAAATTAAAAAAAAAAATGTGTGATCTAGATTCTGACTATTGACCTTTTGTCTTCTAGCCTTTCCTCCTCATCTGATTTTTTTTAAAAGAAAATTAGGGTTAGCATTGGTTTTTCTGCTCATGTTCTCCTTCTATTCCTTAACTTCATTGATTCAGAATTTTTTAACTATCTAAATGTATTCAGGATGTTATCATGTCTTTATAGTGAGATTTCTGATCCTTTTTCAGTGAGGGCAGGAAGGGAATAAACAGCCCTCCCATGCCTTCCTGATTGCAAATATCTCCATTCAGGTCTATGAATTTGGTACAAGAATATAGAGAGAGGGAAAAGAAAGTGAGAGTGGCCAGCAGAGTGTGACACTACAAGGAACATAATGGGAAGTGTTCATTAAATATGTGTTTGGCCCTGGCGGTGCAGAGGTTAGAATGCAATATTGCAGCTAACACTGCCCATAGATTGGAGTTTGATCCTGATAGACTCAGGGTTGACTCAGCCTTCCATCCACCGAAGGTCGGTAAAATGAGGACCCAGATTGTTGGGGGCAATATGCTGACATTATAAACTACCCAGAGGGTCCTGTAAAGTACTGTGGTGCAAAATATATGTCTAAGTGCATTGCTACTGGTACGTCACTTTAATTATATTTAATTTAAACAAAATGGAAATGGAAGAAAGTCTGATTTTTGCAACACCTATTCAGATCTAAAGGCAGACATTAGCTAGCAAAAGTTGAGCTATCCTTTCTTTTCAGAAAATAGGTCAACTGTACCAGCTATTGCAGTGATTATGAGTATTATGGCTATTTGTCGATCCAAAATATAAAAAAAAGTTATGACTGGTAAAGGAGTGGAAAGAGCTATCGTAATTGTTTCAAATCAAAAGGAAATCAAGTTAAAGAGGATTTTTAAATAAATCCCTTTGCTAATTAAATGCAATGAAAGTACATCGCTTCTTAGTTTCTATTGATCAATGTCAGCTATGCTTTCTTTCAGTTGTGGTTTATGAAGTATTTACAAATATATTCCCTTTGTAAATATATTCCAGTCAATCTAGTACCTTCCCAATAGTTTGGATTCTTCAAGTTTTGAAACCCTGTTCTCCCTGAAGAAGGTTGTGATAAATACTTTGGTTTCATTTTAAACTGAGTGTGTCCAGCAACAAAGGGCATACTTACATTAGGAAAGTTTAGATATGATAAAAACCAGAGAACCCAAAACCAGGTTGTCGGGAGCAATGCTTTAGAAAAGGTGACTAAAGTTTTGTTTTCAAGGAGTCAACCAGAGGTAAGTTTCAGCATATTCTGACCAGTTCTCGAGAACCGGTAGCGGAAATTTTGAGTAGTTCAGAGAACCGGTAGTAAAAATTCTGACTGGCCCACGCCCATCTATTCTCTGCCTCCTGAGTCCCAGCTGATTGGGAGGAAATGGGCATTTTGCAGTAACTTTCCCCTGGATTGGGGATGGAATGGAGATTTTACAGTATCCTTCCCATGCCACGTCCACCAAGCCATGCCCACCAAGCCACACCCACAGAACTGGTAGTAAAGATTTTTGAAACTCACCACTGGAGTTAACGTCTATAGCAAACCACAGTGGTAATACAGATTCAGTTCTGTGAAAAATACCAGATTAAGGCAGGTTACCCAGGCTTTTGGTTGCAGTCAAGTTGTTAGAAACAAGGCAATTAAAAAAAGAATTCTGTTTCCATTTTATGAAGGTTTATGGAGTTGAACTTCACTGTGGGTCCCTTCCCTTTATTACAATGGCTGTGGAATCCGTGGAAAGTCTTTATGGTTTCACAAATCAAACTCCCATTTGATCCATTTGTTTTGTCCTTTAATAGCTGCATCACTGACCTTTCCATGGGCCAGCAAATTTCTGAAATCCTGATTTTCTCAGATTTATTTATTATTATTATTATTATTATTATTATTATTATTATTATTATTATTTTGCTGAGAAAGTTCTAGGACTAATTGCTGAGAATTTGTATTAGTTTACAAATTTTAATGACACTCATGATTTATTAATGTACTCCTCTTGCATCTGCTGCTTCATTCCTTGATGGAATTCTTGCTGAATCTGAGTGAATTAATAAAAACAAAACTGTGTATTATAATAGTGTTTTAGCTTGGCTGTTAATTAAAAGCACTTTGCCACTATTCAGTTGTTTTTGTTTCCCTCTTTTTTCTTTTTTTTTCTTTTTCTTTCTAACTGATTTCGCCATGGGAGTCTTTAAAGTCTAGGCAAGCCTAAATTGCCAGAACAGGTTCTTTTTTTGGGAACTTAAACTGATTATTGTGTTTTGTGAATCTTCCTGCTCACCTTCCTGCTTAAACATAGCACTGAAAGTGTAGCTATTTGTACATGACCAATTTGCATGAATTGTTACAGTTATTGGATTTGTAATGTTGCATCTGCTTATCCAGTTATACATGGCTGCAGGGAGGTTTTGAAAGCCTAGGAGTAGAAATAATGGACAATTTCCTTGCTCTTCACTTCATAATAGAAAATGGAACATTTTTCTTAGTCTAAGTGATGTTAATGTCCTGTTCCATTCAGTAACTTAAATTTTGAACCTGGGAATCTATTAGATTATTATTCTTTTCAAAAGTACTAAAATATTTTAGCCTCAGGTTGTTTGCCTTATTATTTCAACTGGAATTTGACTGTTCTTTCCTTTTTGGGTGTGTGTGTATGTGTTTGACTTTTGTAATAATTGGGAACCATTTGAGAAAGTCTGGATAAATGAGTTTTTTGTCCTTATTACCCATTTTTGGAAGAATATGAAATATGGCATTGACAAGTTCTCTTGATTTGATGTAATATTGTTCTTCAAGTAGCTGCTTCTACATGAGACATTTCTAACACTTGGAGTTTCTGTTTTTTCATATTGAATCTCTTTGGGATGGCAATATACACTGCTACAAAAAAATAAAGGGAACACAAGCAGAAGACATCCGAGATCTGAATGAATGAAATAGCCTTATTAAATACTTTGTTCATTACATACAGTAGTTTTGTGTTCCCTTTAGTTGGTTGAGCAGTGTATAAACTACTGTATGTAAAGAACAAAGTATTTAATAAGGCTATTTCATTCATTCAGATCTCGGATGTCTTCTGCTTGTGTTCCCTTTATTTTTTTGAGCAGTATATTTTAGTACCATACATATTATTCATGTTAGTCTTAAAGAGTTGGGACCATCAGAGATAGACAGAAATGTTCTAATGCTTTGTATCATAGTTTCATGAGGGCCACCTAATAAATGACTCTTGATAGGTACAGCCATGGTTATACAGAATAGCAATAGCACTTAGAATTATATAGTGCTTCATAGTGCTTTACAGTTCTCTCTAAGAGGTTTACAGAGTCAGCCTATTGCCTCCAACAATCTGGGTCCTCATTTTACCAACCTCAGAAGGATGGAAGGCTGAGTCAACCTTGAATGTACTTTATAGTTTCCTTCTGGTTATTTCGAGATCTTTTCCTTTTCTATATGCATTTGATGTGTAGGTTATTGAAATAACCATGAATAACCAGCTGTTTGGATCTCTCTTAGATCTTTCACAATTTGTATGATCATGACATTTCCTCAAAATTTCAAGATCTTTATAATGTCTGAAGGTCCTTTGTATGTGATGTCTCGCTGCCTGGAGGCCGTGCGGGTCTGGATGGGGAGGAACAGGCTCAGACTCAACCCCTCCAAGACTGAGTGGCTGTGGCTTCCGGCGTCCCGAAATAGTCAGCAGGTGCCATCGCTGACTATTGGGGGTGAATCCTTGCCCCCACGGAGAGGGCTCGCAATCTGGGTGTCCTCCTGGACGC